CCTTCACGTAAACTTTGAAATACACATAGTAAATTTATTCATCAGAATAGATATTCGAAATGATTCCCTCAATAGAATTTAAGAACAGACCCACTGGAGTTTGGAGTGACTAAATCACACGGTACAATGGTGTAGCGTCGGTTCCTATGCTGAGCCCACATATCTTATTTCAGCTTCCGAACAGGTCAATTTATTAATTCTTCTGGAGTCACATTTTGACCTTGTTAATTACTCGCTTGTCAACCCTGATTCTTTTTATATAAGCATATATGTGTGTATTTCTTGTCTTACTCATCACATGTCTGTAGCTTACTTTTGTTTGACCACAAATGTTGATTAACGCTTGATTAAATCAATTTGGCTCACTCGCCTTCTTTATTTCACGTTATTTTGTTCTACTTCTCTTTCCGACCAACGAATGTGCAATATATATATATTCAAAATTAATTCTCGTATTGGACTTATTTAGTTCCATTATCCACTAACGTGATTTAAGTCGACAGTTACATACGAGGCTTACCGATATGTATATTCCAATAACAATCAATCATACGATATTACTGGAGTGAGATCTTGGGCCACTGAAATTATTATTATTAATGGCTTTATTCAGTATTATGTATTTGGTACAATATAGACTTCTCAGCACAAAGTATTTCAGCGAGTTTCCCTTTCTTATTTCTTGATCGACCCTTGCGATAAATATTGAGTGGCTACCAGTTAAATGTTAGCAGTCCAGTCAATCGACATTTCAATAATGTACATTCTTTTCGATGTATAATACCAGCAACTATGATGTCTCTGATTGTGTTCTTTACTAACTTTTACAGTGAAATGTTGTACACTTTTCACAAACACACTCGAATAGTTATATGCGACTAATAGACATAATGATGTAATAAAACAAACGAGAAAAAACAGATAACCTCTCAATATATCTAAATGACAAGAAATAGATAGCTCAGATATTCAAACAGGTCACCGAATAATAAACAAAGAATATAAACATGTAAAATGCTATTTTTTTTTTATTCACTATTTATTATTCAACTTGTTGTTGTCGTTGTCATTCACTTTAAATTCTGTTCTCTTTTTGTTTCTGTTTGTTTATTTCAGCTTGAATAAAAATGAATCACAATTGTCATCTGTAAATAATCCATCAGGTTTTGAATAGATATGGACAATTGATAAAGAAGATATAAAAAAACAAAAGTTTTCTTTTCTTTAATATGTATCAAATACAGATTATCGATTTAATTTTCTTTTTTTTAAAAGAAAAAAAAAGAAAAAAGAATTTCCACATTGATTTATTATTTTTTACATTTAATCTTACTAACGATAAATAACTTTATAAATTTCCGTTGTGAATAATGGGAACTTTTATTTCTTTCCACCTCCACCCCCCCTCCCAGCAAAATGTTTATTATATACATTATATTAAACTGTTCTGTTTGAATAAATAAAGTCTATTTTACAGTTTATGTACATTTATATTTGGCTTAAATGATTGATAAAATTAATAGAAAATTAAAACAATTATATAATAGTTGAATTCATGAGTCAATTAAAGTTGAACTACCGTGGAAGTAATGTACGGCCGTTTTTGTCCTAGAATGCAACAGCTTACGATCCTGATTCAGAAAGTTCGTTTGACTTTTTTCAACTTACATCACCTATGGCTAAGGTGATATATCTTTCCTTAAATTTAGGGACGAGTATAATGCGCGATTGTTTTTTCTGTTGTACTTATACGGCTGAGAAACGTGGCCATTAAGAGTAGAAGATACTCGTAAGTTACTAGTACTTGATCACAGATGTCATAGAAATATTGCTCGCATCTGCTGGGATCACCAGGTAAGTAATAATGAGGTTAGACATAAAGTATTTGGGAATGATGGCAAATCAGTTGATGAGGTTTTGAATCTTCATCGACTGAGATGGTTGGTCCACGTGTCACGTATGCCTGAACACCGATTATCATGACGCGCAATGCTGAATAGTATTGGGGATGGCTGGAATAAAGTTAGGGTTGGCCAAACCTAAGTGTGGCATCAGTCCACAAAGTTACTAACTTCTAGTCTCAGCCATGTTGGTAGATGCAGACTACTTGGTTGGGGTCCGCGTGACTATCGTAACCAATGATTGGAGACTCTGGATGACATGGCTCAGAATCGAACACAACAGCGTAGATTTATACATTCTCTGTCTTTCTTTAAACTGTGAGATTAAAATTGTTTCATATCTTTCTCCTATATACTACCACCTTTGACCTAACCACTCCTATGAATCCGGTGTTCATCTTGCTGTGCTAATGCGGTATGGCAACCCGGACCGATGCGTATATGTGCCTGGTTCTACGTTGTAGCTAACTGACGATCCCGCTCCTTCAGCATTCAAACCCAGGAGCTATCGGTCTCGCGCGCGAACTCCTAATCTCTAGATCACTGAGCCAGTATCCAACAGTGTTATTGTCTTACTTCGACCAATTCTGCGGGGTGGGGTCGTAGATGAGGAGTCCCACACCAAAACGAAACGGTTTTCCAGTGCCTCTAGGTTTTTCATGGTTATCTAGCTGCAACTGGCTCATGGATTCAACTATTAAAACTACTAAAATCTCTTCTGATAACAATTATATAATGTGAAAATATCAGAATGAATGTAAATTATTTAAATCAGATAATAGAATAAATAAAACTGAACGTGTTTATTGTTCAATTTAATGAACGATGTTATTTGAAAGATATATTCACAAAATTATTTATTAACTTTAAAATTAGTTTGTTACTATGAATCGGTTTCACAATTCATTTTAGTAAATAGCAATCATAATTCAAGTATTCAATCTACTTCAAGATAAACTTATCTAACATTATACGCAAAGAAGGGTAGTGGCTAACAGTGAAGTCAAGGATGCACATTTCGTCCTACTTGGGACTTGTCGGTTGGATGTATCTGCATCCCAGATTTAATATTCACTCCAGGACTCGAATAAAATACTGCTTGCTTCTAATGCCATCACGTTATCTAGTTAGCTACTGAATCTACATAGCAACTAGCTTGTGTAACGTAGCGAAGTTTTGGTTCATTTTGTATTGCTTGTTTGAATCTTCACACTGATGTTTAGGATTGCAATTAGTTGGTCTGTAATTGGCATATGTGCATCCTGTGAGGATTGCCTCGATATTGCCTTAATTCACAAACACTATAAGCAAATATAGATGGTGGCTAGCTGTAGAATCCAGGACACGCGTTTCATCCTATTTGGGACTGGCCAGTTGGATGTATCTTCATCCCAGATTTGATTTTCAATCCGGGATTCCAACCCAGTACCGTTCACTTCAAACTTCACTTAGCTACTGAGTCCTGGTAGCCACTGATCAATTGCAGTCTTAAACATCAATGGGAAGATTCAAACAACCAATACAAAATGAATTGAACTTATCATAGTTCTTACGGGAAAATGTGAAGTAAATCAACTTAAAAATAAAGTCAGTGGCAAAAACATTGAATTATGTGGTTGAGCGTTCGAATGAACTGACTAGTAATGAGATGCTTGAAGTATTGAACATTTTGCTTTATTTTTAACTCACCTGATATGCTAGTTAACAGTGATAATTCTCTTCAAGCTATAACAATCTATATGAAAAATGTTTTAGAAAATCCACAGAACAAAATATTTCTGATCCAGCTAGATTGACTTCATCGATTATTCACACATTCTAATGTTATAATATCTTTACCAAGATTTGATTTGATAATTTCGAATAAATTGAGCATTGAGTAGATTGTTATAAATAAATAATATATTTGTAAAATCCCAATGAGTAGAAAATTAGATTTTCTGACGTTTCGTGACTTAGTGTAAGTCAATTCGTCAGAGAATAAATAACCAAATTAAAATTAATCCAAATTTAAATAGTACAACGGAACAATTGCTTAACAACAGGCCAAATACTTTTGTGGTGGCTGGCACTATATGAAGCCCAAATAACTTATTCTAACTTACAAACGGAACAATTTAGTCGATGATTATTTACGAGGATTGGCGACATATGTAATTCGATAACGATAATTACACGATCAAATTGTAGCCAAACTTCGGACCAATAAAGTGATGAACCTGTCGGCATCATCATCCGATCTAACTGGCGTCAAAATAACGGGTCACTAAACTTTCTTTAACCGGAATAACGATTTTACAGTTTCGTATTCTTGCAAGATTGTTAATGTGTTTATTGATTAGTTTTATAACAAATTGAGTGGATGAGATAGTCGCACAAATATTACAGATTGAAAGAAAAACAAACAGTGAGACATTAAAATCACTTTCAAGCCAGATTACATCATGATCTTGAACCGATTATTTCTATTATGTTTGAAACTTTAGATAAAATGTTCACATACCCATGTGTGCTTCAACATAATATTCTGTGACTTTATGAAGTGGACTAATGGTAAAATATGAACCACATTATCTTACGAAAAATTCGCTTTTTTATTTGGGGGGGGTGAATGATCAGTATTTTAATGCATGTTAAACATCTTCAAACCATTTATGCGTAAAATTATTGTCGACAAAATTATGTCTCAACATTATTGATATTAGATAACTTTCAACCTAACTATTTATGCCATAATTAGAAAATAAAGTAAGTTTACGTTGAATTTGTAGTGCTTTGGTTTACCTCGTTGTTGATACTTTAACTGAAATTTGATCAATCCTAATTGCCTCAAATGTCAACGTAGGGATAACTTAAACGGTTACAAATTAAATTCAAATTCATATCCGCTGCATAAGTGAATGGCTATTTAGACTAAGTAACTAAGCTGATAACACGTTGGGGTTTAGAGCAAAAGATAATGAACTCGAATCCTGAGGTGAAAATCAACTGACTTGTTCAAAACAAAACTAGACGCGCATCCTGGATTCCACTGTTAGCTACATTCTGTATACTCAAGATTCGCTTTTATTAAACGTTCATTTCAAAATGTAAGATGAAATAACAACACATATGTATATTGTAATAGAATGTTATACGTTTTCCTAAATTTCAAAATCATTTAATAAATTATTCCCTTGAAATGTAACATAACTTGATAAATAACGGTGAAAGACGTTCTGGTGTTCTCAAAATATGATCTGGAATCGTATCCACATGAAATTCTTCATTCTCCTCTTCATTCCGTGGTGTTATATCTTCAACGACTAGAATAAATTGTTCTGGGCGAGTAGAAAAAACAAACAGGTCATACAATTCAAGATATGAAGTGAACAATAAAACTGAGTAAAACTCAACATGCAATTCATTAACACAGAAAACCATTATTTTCATAAAAGAAGCAATCAACAGATTACAATACATAATAAATTTTATGATTTATATCAAGGACTAATTATGGATAGGTAACCAGTGAAAACCAGGAAGCAATAAACATCTGTTTCTTCCTAGTATGAGACTCCTTAACGAAGTGCACCCAGGAGTCCATTGAGAAGAGAACCCGAGACTCATTAATTGTAGAGTAGAATAACGTGCAGATTAATTTATCAATTCAAAATAAAGTGTTGTTGTAATCAGTGCTAATCAAATTCTATCGATCAAGTCTGGTATAACGGTGACAACGGAACTATTAAAACCTTCGTTTAACAATGATTTAATAATGACTATTCAATTATTTTTCGTAATCAAGAAAGAATATAATAAAAGACTACTGTAATTAGATAAGTTAACATTAAGACGAACTAATTTTAGAGGGCATATATGAATGGACCTAATTGGCAGTAGAAATATAATATTCCAAACTAATGACTTCCGATCAGATCAAGCTGATAAAATACGGAAAAATATTATTTTACAAGATTAACAATTAAAATTATGAGTCGCTTGAAGCTAGACAACCATGGAAGAACCTGCAAGCATTGGACGGCCGTTTCGTCCTAGTATGAGACTCTTCAGCAGTGCGCTTCCAAGACCCCGCTCCGCGAGATTCGAACCTGGGACCTAACCATTAGAATACTGAGCCAGTCAGCATCCAATGGTGTTAATGTCTAACTTCAACTAATCCACGGAATTAAACGACATATCCGCCATTGTCTTCAGTGAGTTACTATCTCACAACAGAGCCGGCTGAACTACTGAGGAGTCCCACAATAGGATGAAATGACTGTCCAGTGCTTCCAGGTTTTCCATGATGGTCTAACTTCAATTGACTCATGATCTCAACTATTAAAATTTAAAAAATTGTAAAGAAAACTTAAACAACTTCAATTGACTTTATGTATTTGTTCAAATAATGCGAAAATATCACACCATAAAAACAATTATCGTAAACTTTCTTTTACTATAAATACATCTTTAACGAATTTACCATTCACTCTCATCATTAGCTATATGAATAGAAATATATTCACTTGAATGAATCCTCCTATTTATCATTCTCATACAGAACAATGTCTAACCTGTTAATCAATAATCATTTATTCTAAGATCTTTAGATAGTCAGTGTCACTATTCTCTATTTGAATGTGTTAAAGGATCAGTCGAAATCATTATGTTTAAAATAAATTTATAGTAGATATTTTATTTGTATGGGAACATACTTTCTAATCTGTTCATTTAAAATAATCCGATTTATATGAACCGTCTAAAGCATGAAGGCTTGATGGATTGAGATTTCTGCATGTTAGTCCATTAGCACGATTATTTGACGATATAATTATTACATAGAAAATAAGATTGTAAATTATTTCCTTCATTGGTTTTTGGACAAAGATAACACAATCTACTGGATGATAGGTGATCATCAAAATTCCCAAGACCTAGATTTCGTGCTAGATGGTACTTGTTAGTAAGATAGTGTCCATCATAAGAATAATTATGAAACTTTCCTATCGTGAAATCCCATCATAGTTCATATCAAGTAAAGCCCAGTGATAAGTTGTTAACACTTTGCCTCAATCTTTTTCATTACAAATTTACTGTTCACAGTTAACATATTGGAATGATTAATATTGTCCAATTTTACTGTCACAACTGAATTATTACTAATTTTAAGTAAAAATGGATAGTGGCTAGCAGTGGAATCCAGGACGCGCGTTTTGTCCAGGACTCAAAATGATTAGTAATATAATATTTTTGGTGTCGCGTATGCTTACTGAACTATTTGTTCACTTCACAATTCAAAATTAATCAAGAAGAGACAATTATTTAAGCTCCAAATGGATATCTATATATTTTGTGAACATTGAGTAATCTACCCAAGTTAAATTGCTTATAACTTCTGACTGGGAATTAATTTGGAACATTCTGTTTCTTTTTTAAACTCTCTCTTTAAGTCTACAAATATTAAAATAAGTCTCTTTAAAAGGAACTAGGTTTACGTTGTTATTGTCTTGTTATCTTAAAATATGGGTAATTTGTCATGAATGTTGGTTAAGGCTAAATAAGTCATTAGACTTATGAATATGCGTAGATACAAACGACTTTAACAGATTTACGGATCATTTGTAGTCAGTTACGTAAAACCATGTATATGTAACTAAACATTATAGTTTAAATCTTCCCATTGTGAAAACGTGACTAAATCAATAGATATAAAACGACTTAGCTTTATAAAGACCTAATTATCTACATTTACAGTAGGTAAATCGAATTGCCTTTTTAAAATCCAATATACGAAAACGTCTAAATGAAATCAGATAACTGACGATAAATAAAGAAGACTAAAAGACAATAATTTATTGCATATGCAATTAGTCTTTTAATAGGTTTATATTTCTTATATAACATTCTGGAAGAGAATACTAAAATCCAACATAATCTCCTGCCTATAAACCTTACGTCCATTCTTATCCTAGTTGAATATAACAGTGAATTGGTGATTCGAGGGGTTCTGCATTGTAATATTTACTTCGGTATTATTTTGTCCTCAAAGATCCTCATTCCTACAAATGAAGAACATAAGGAACTCAAAACAACTGTCAACCAATATCAATGTGAGGATCTTCAATACGAACATCAAGACAGTGCTACTGTACGGAGCTTATTTATTTATTTAAACACATAAACATTGGTACAAAGATGCACCAAATAGATATGCGCAACATAAATCATTCGACTTGTATGAGGGCTGTATTACTGCCCGGGTGCCCAAACCGAAGCAGGTGGTTTCCTTAGAGGATGAAACCGAGAGCCTTCGACGTAAAGGTTTGATCCGCAAGGCAGTAGAAAAACGTTAGGAGATGCAGCCTGATGGTAGTCGGTGACCAACGACTAGTTAAGACGCTATTTGTTCCTTTAGGATACTGGAGCCTATGTGCATCTTTGGTTTGCGATCAGGGTTTCCCAACTCTTCTAAGTGAACTCTTTGTGTCCACCAACCCGGTTAAAGCACCGGACGGAGGTGAAACGTAGAGATTTACTACAACCATCATCAAGAAGGCACAAGTATTTATAAACAGTTCTCTATGTAAGATACTGAATATCTGTTCTCCAGATACCATCAGCAATAGCCTTCTGTGGAAGAGGAATAACCAGCTTTCATTTGAAGAGGAAATTAGAAAAAGACGATGGACGTGGATAGGACATACATAGAGAAAATCACCAAACTGAATGACGAGCCAAGCCGTAACTTGGAATCTTGAAGGAAAGCGGAAAAGAGGAAGGCCAAAGAACACATTACGTCGGGAAATGGAAGCAGATATGATAAGAATGTACAGCAACTGAAAACAACTGGAAAGGATTTTCCAAGACAGAGTTGGACGGAGAGAGCTGGTGGGCGGTCTATACTTTTCCATGAAGGGTAACAAGGGTAGGTAAGTAAGTAAGTAATTCCTCGAGGTTATGAGTAGATAAACACCTGTCAATCACAGTCACATATCTGTTTGATAAACAAAATATATAATCTTTTATGAAAGTAGCTGTCAACTAAGTCTAAATACAAAATTTGACTGTTTAGACACTCCCTTTAACATATTACAAATTTTAAACACTCAAAGATTTTCTACACAGCTAAATAACTTTATTTTTAAACTGAACAAGTATTAATATTGGTTGGAAGGAGTTAATAAACACTAAATAATAGTTTGTTATAGCAACAAGTTACATCTATATGACGATCATTTGGAAAATCATATTTCTTTAGGAATAGTTAGAAAACTGGATAAATCTATGATGAAACTTTGAAAATGGATAAAAATTAAGAGGAACCCATATCTTCTCATTAACTTGCAATATTACTAAGTAAACGCTATTAAACCAATAAGTGATCTGTTTAAACTGTGTAGTTATGATTAAGATCATAGAAAAGACTTGTTACTCAGGTATTGGATTCTCTAAGCTGAATTATTAAGATCTATATTCATTAACTTCAACTGATTACGTATATCCTGGAGTTCTAGTGAGAAGCAGTGACCAGTGGAGTTCAACAGGGTCAGTTGTGAGATAGTAACTCACTGATGACAATAGTGGATGTGTCGCTCAATTTTGTGGATTATTTGAACTTACACATTAACATCGTTAGATGCCATCTCAAGCGTTCGAGCGCAAAACCGATAGGTCCTCGGTTCAAATCCCGCGAGGTAGGAACGTGGATGTGCACTGCTGAGGAGTCCAGTACTAGAACGGAATGGGCGTTGATTGCTTCCAGGTTTTTGTCTAGCTTCAATTGACTAATGATCTCAACTACTGAAATTATCTTCTAAATTGTTAATCTAATTTCCTCCTTTTGAAATGTTGTTCGTTGTGGTCTGTATCTTACACTTACCAGTATATATTACTAATAAAAATAATTTAAAGTTTATCTTTTATCAAAGTTCTTCCATTATCAAACAAATCAATAGTGTTTTATCGTCTTAGCAACAAAAAAACAAACAAACAAACATAATACAATCAAATTTATCTTTAATAAAAAAACAGATCACTTCATTTACCACCAAATTGTAGTTGATTAAGGCATGATGAATTTGTAAATTCTTCAAATAAATGAACTGATTTTTCAATCTTTGATAAATCAATACAATATTCATGATCATCTATCATTGATATCTTCTTAACATCTTCTTCTACGTGGATTGTTTCATTTATATTTTGATTATTGATGAGAGATTTTATGATAGAATAAGAAATGAAACCACGTTTAGTAGATTGTTTGTATACAAATACTTCATTCAGTAATTGTTGATTTTCTAAATAAAATAATGATGATAATAATAGAACAAAAAGTTAACATTCGAAAATAATGCGATTCATAATTGATTTTTATGTTTTATAGATTGTTACCATTAAAAGTATTATACTGGAAGTGAATAGAACATACATTAAAGAAATCATTAAATTGAATCACAAGGTAAGCCTTAATTTGGAATCCTGAAGGGAAATGAAAAAGAGGAAGGTTAAAGAATACACTACGTCGGGAAATGAAAACACATATGAAAAGATTGAATAGCAACTGGAAACAACTGGAAAGGAATGTCCCAGACAAAGTTGATTGAAGAGTACTGATTAGTGACTTATGCTCCTTCGCGAGGAGTAACATGTGTAAGTAAGTAATTGAGATGAATCATACAAGCTACAGTTTATGTTTTACAACATTAGGAATTAAACCTCCTATCAAATATCTATTCTACTTGTTTAACACACGCAAAAAATACAACACTAAACTAATACATCCAATTTAAAATCTAAAAATCATTCATGTTTCAAATTCCACGGCAGTGTAACACAAATGCTACTAATCAATCAAAGTTCAATAAAGGTTAGAGACCATAGGATTCCAACATTTCCATTTACTAGTACACTAAACGGATAAGAGAGTAGATGGAGGAAGTTCATAAGCTGTAGAATTTGTTTTCTAAAAACAAACGAAATATATTTGTCATAAGACAAAGGTGTAAATCATCTATTAAAGTTCGAGATTCCATAACATCCTCATATTCTCCGATTCATAGTTTTCAAAGGATAAAACAAATTAACATAAACTAATGATTTTATAGGTATCAATAACAATTTTGGATTTGATAGGTTCAAATAAATTAAACATTTGGTAACAAGTTAATAATAAATATATTTTTATTATATCCCAATGAGTAGAAAAATTACATTTATAACGTTTCGTAACTTAGTGTAGGCCACCTCTTCAGAGTGAATAAATCTCAAGAAGTGACTTACACCAAGTCACGAAACGTCAGAAATACAATTTTCCTACTCATTAAGATATAACAAAAATATACTTATTACAAACTAATGGTTACTTAAAAATTTTCATTTTCAATTCAACATACTATCCATAGTGATTATCATTTTTACTCTCCGTCAAATTGTAAGTTTAAAATCTGTCCAAAGGTGAACAAGGTTAGGATCATAGAGTATTTTATGACTTTCTTTTTTTCGAGATCACGAGTCAGTTGAAGCTAGACCACCACGAAAAGCCTGGACGCACTGGACGACCGTTTCGTCCTATCGTGGGACTCCTCATCAGTGCGCATCCACGATCCCGCCTCATGAGATTCAAAGACGGAAATGAAGGTCACGGGGTGATAATTAATGATCTTACCTTTTTACATGCAACTTTAAAATAGAACATAAACAACAGAACTCAAAAATATAATAAAACAAATAACTTACCATTTTCTATAATACTATTACTCGGTTGATTATTTACATTCCTTTTATCTTCTTCGTTTAAATCAAAATTAGTTATAATATGATCGATGTTATCATCAATTGAATGAACTGGTGAATTTTGTTCATCTATTCCTGTTTTATTGGAAATTAACTTTACTGAACCAACTGGATAGATGTATGAACCGCTTTTAGAAAATGGTAATGAATTAAATAATTAGATGGATTAACATGCAAATAATTAACAATGTTAAACAATGATCTTCTAATTTAAACATGAACTAATCTTAAATAAACGACTGTTGAAAAAATGTAAGCACTGCATTGAAGTTTCATCATAGTGTAAGACTCCTAATTAGTGTAGACTCACAACACTACGTCTAAGAATTGCATCCAGTACCTTTGACTCCATATGCCAATTCCTAACTTTTGGACCACTGAGTCGGTATCTGATGGTGTCCGTGTCCAAATTCAATCAATTCATGATATTGTGCAACCCTCATCCATTGTCTGCGGTGACTAGCGGAGTCCAACCACGTTGGGTGTGGGATAGTGATCCACCGCCATAACCATTGAGATATATAATTCAGTACCATGGTACGCTTTATTTGATATTATAAGGCTGTAAGAAACCGAAAAACAGATCTATATCTAGGTTTTATGCAAGTTAACATACATTAACACAGTGTATCTGCTTTGTTGAAAAAAAGCCGCTAATCCACATATTCCATTATAGAAGTCAAGATGTCGAAAATCTCACTGGTAACTTATATAACTTTAGCCGTGGATAATGCATGTACAAATCTCTCAGGAAACATTAGTTTCCACAAGATTTTAAGGAAGCCTTACTTCTAAACATTAACTAGCACTAAACCACAGTACTTCAAAATAGATTAAAACTTATTGTCGAAATGTTTCACAGTTTTTTAAAGCTAACCAAAAAATATCAAAATTAAAAATATTTCTAAACAAATAAAGTATATCTTGTTAACAGAACTAGTAATCTGCATTAAATTTGGACTCATACCACCTTGTGGATAGAGAAATGAATAATGTTACTATAAGCGAGTTAAGTGAAGTATGGTTGAATATCAGGTAATCAAAACACGAATTTTGTGTATTAATTAAATGGAATATGGTTAGCAGTCGAATCCTGGATTCCTGTTTTGTCCAACTTGAAAACCCACCAACTGAATGAATCTACATGCCAGAGCCGACTTTTACTCCAAGACTCGAACCTGATGCTATTCGCTTTAAAAGCCAATTCGTTATCCACTTAGCTACTGAATCCAGGACGTAACTCTAACCCTGGATTCAATTGCCAGACATATGTCATCTATTCTACATAAAACGAATGTTATACTAGACAATATATCACATTATAATAAGTTGAACATTGTAATATCTAGTACTACGTCTAATCCACATGGGTTGAGTCACATTTTGACGTTGTGAATTATTCGCTTATCATTATACGAGTGTATGCCTGTTAAGTGCTTACCCTATTCATTACGTGTCTGTAACTTATTTTTGTCTGACTACTGAATCATGCTTAATCCAATGGGTTGGCTTACTTGCCTCCTCCCCCTTGTTTCGTTTCTCATTTTTTCAACGACAGTCCTCGCTTGGTATCGCCTTCTCGTAAATATGTATGTGCTTGAATCTTACTAATTGATTCGACAACAAATTCGCCTCTGTATTCACTCGCTCGCCCGCATTCGCATTTATGCTAAAATTTGCTTGATATGCTTGACATGGGTTATCGATCTATGCTTTTCAATAATAAACTGTGGTCGGTGCTTCATGTTGTCTTCTGAACTTATACACCGTTGGGATTTATTTAATAATGGTTATCAGGGCGATTGAAATACAAGGCCTAAAGAATTATCTCGAAGCTAATCCACTACAATATTATACTAAGAAATGATCATACTGAATTAAAGAAAGGGAGGAAAGCTGGATAAAAACCACATTTTAAAAAATGCCATTCCAATAGATTGGAATCCGAAATACGTTTTATTCCATGAACATTTTTATTTATGAATTGTGAGGTAATCTGAGACGAGAGAGAGAGAGAGAGAAAGTCATCTAATTATCCATGATTTTTAATGTTTCTTCACTTCATGATGAAAAGTACTTTGAAGAAATACAAGTGTTTATTGTTTGGAACTATCAATAATGGCTAATAATGACAGTGTAATCTCTTGAATTGTTACATATAATCGTTAGCAATTTCAATAGCAATTAATACTTTAAAAAACACATCATTACCTAATATTTCAATTAAATAAGTAAGTTGATACAGAAAGCCATTACAACAAGTAAGAAATAAGACCAAAAAAGATAAGTAAACAAAAATGTTTCATTTTTTTAAACAAACCATTCCGGCGAGACTATAATCTATGGACGAATCAATCACGTATAAGATAACAGGTCTTGGATTTTGGCGCGAAATTCATTCTCTTTTTTTGGCTAAATAGAGTTTTGGCATTATAGCTGATGTCAGTATGTGATGAAAACCTTAAATATAATTCCTAACCTTAACCATCAACTGTAAATTATAATTCGAATTCTTCACACTAATTTATAACCCTCATTCGGTCCTAGTTATCAGGTGGACACTCTCAAGGTCAGTCTAGCTTCGCTCTAAGGTCATCCATAAATTATAGTCTCACCACCATTCCTTCAATAATCCTTGATAAAGAATGTAACTCATTTATCTAAAATTGTTGAAGTCCATGGGCAATAAAACGCTTCATAAGCAAATAAAAGATGGATAGTATTGAAAAGCAATGAAATTGTAAAATTATCGCTGCTTATAGTGTAGAATGAGCTCATTATATTTAATACTTGTAATCATTTTACTATCCCTTTTATCGGAAAAAGTTATGCATATTAGAGTGTAATTTTCAATGGATTCTATTGTAAGCCCTGACCCTCACTATATTTTTGCTTTTTATCTATGAGTTTATATTGTACAACACTGAGATATTCATAAGAAACAGGTATATATAACTCCAAACACTTGAAATAAAACCTTTAGTGAAAATTACACTATTATATTCAACATTTACCTAGAACATACATACAATACATAATTAACAATGAAGATGTTTTGAATAACCACAGTCTGAAATCATAGATAGTTTTGAAATCATTGTTTGATGTATCAAAAGAGATTTTTATTTTATTCATTTGTTCAAATAGTTTTATCACCATTTCGACGGTTTAGTTTGATATTCTGAAACATTCAGAAATTTATTTAACCTGTTCACTTCAGAAGATTACTTACTTATGCCTGTTACTCCTCGTGGAGGAGCGTAGGCCGCCCACCAGCACTATTCATCCAACCCTGTCCTAGGCAATCTTGATATATATACAATATTTACAATAAATGTTTAGATGTACAATTTGATTATAATCCTCGACTAATTTGGATCGAAACAATTTTAGTTCGCGATAAAATCAAGTTATCTTTGTTTGTATATTAATTAGGAAACTAATCGAATCAGTTACAAACTTGAGAAACCGTTCATTTTGGCTAGTAAATACTAGTTTTACCCTTCCTTCAGCTATTATAAATTTAATTTTATTAGTATGGATAATGCAAAATATTAAAATTAAATCAAAATTCATACCCATTACACAAGTGAATGGTTATCTGGGCTTAGATAATAAGTAGATAACGCGTTGGCATTTGAAGTGAGTGGCACTAGATTTGCATGCCAGAGTGATGAAAGTACATCTGGCTGATCAGTCCCACATAGGACAAAACCCGCATCCTGGATTACACTGCTAGCTACATTTCATCTATTTTATACAAGTTTTATCCTCATAGTATTGATTGAAAAAATATTTTTTTCAACTAGATTTTAGTTGTTATGTTTTAGTTACTAGTTTAAAATAAAAAAAATCGGGCTTAGTTGATCGTCTTTCTCTTTCACTTATTGAACTGTAGTTATATTTCGCGTATAAGTAACTGAAAATAACCTAAATGAATTGCAGACATTTTATAAATGTTAATCAGGTTGGATGATAATTTTTAAAAAATGGCAAGAATACACAAACACAGGAACATGATAGATAAAACGAATCAAAGTTTGTTTCAAGTAAATAGGTTTGTGGAGATTATTGATATGATGAACCGACCCAAGTTAAACACTCATTTATATTTATGAAAGAAGTGAATTCCGACTCAAAGATTCGAAGGTTAAATGTTCGTACATGAGACAGAAGGTCTCCAGTGACCGTGAATGTACACTGATGAGAAGTCGGATACTAGAACAATACAACTATCCAGTGCTTTCTGCTTTCCAGTGAATGTTCGGCTCCCGATATCAATATCGATTACATCAAGTTACTTAATAACAAAACATAGTGAAACTGAGTACCATCAATTAACCTAACGACTCCTTTACAACTTAGATAACACTAAGAACAAGAGTTGAGAACTAGTACTCCTAAATGATCAATTATTTGAAAATTTCATCCCTTTAGGAGGTCACCTGTAACCAATACAACTAAATGGTAATAGTTCTAACTGAGCTACTAGGCAGTATTAATCCCTTCATGGTTGTACATACGTCTACTTATAACAAACTATCTTTTATACTCGTCTAATTTTAGAAACCATCAAATGAATACAATATATCAATTAGTTCAGTCTCGTTAACAATTATCACATCTCGCAGGGGGCGAGGTCGTGGATACGCATTGCTGAGGAGTCCCACAATACAATGAAACGGCCGTTCAGTGCTTCCAGGCTTTTCATGATGGTCTAGCTTCAATCAACTCATGATCTTAACCATTGAAATTATCACATCCAACTAAACAATATACTATTTTAATCTAATCAATCCATCAGTATTTTATTCATTAACTTATCAACCTACATGTGATTATTAGCCAATCAAAAAATAGTTTCTAATCAATAAAAATGATCCTTTAAGTATATACTACAATTTCACTATCTCATGTGATTAGTTTTACATGAGTTAATTAAATCTATTGATTAGTGGATCCAATTATAAACTCAATTCAAAACTATTATAATGCATTTTATGCAATTACTGTAATTTGTAATGGTTGTATTAAGAAGCTTTTTTAAAGTACTGTTAATAATCATAGTAACTATTTACCATTCACTTTAGTAAACAAGAATGAATTTTCATACACAAAGTAAGTATTATTTATAGATAAAGAATAAGTGATGCGAAATTTGTACTCGTTAAAATAGTAGGCGTTTTTATATTCTTTCTATATTATACATTTCAAATGTTTGATTGTTGAAAGCTATTGATAGTAAGCTTTATACTGAGATCATAAGACTCGAAATGTATCACCAAAATGAATTTATTGTCTTGAAGTTTTTTTGGTGGGGGGGGGTATATTACTAGGAATTTAAACCCAATAAGTAACATAAACGGAGTTATTTGGTCAGTAATTAATGTCTAATAATATTGAGATAAATAATTAGTAACATTCAAGTTATTATGTAGTCTAGTTATTTCTTAGTACTGATAGAACTCTACCGAGTACGTAACAACACAAACTTTATGGTTCAAGTTATTTGATATTGTAGTACACTTTATTTCTTTTTTTGTCAAATGTTGGGAAGTGATAAACATAACGGTCAGTAAGAGACACATCCACCATTGTCTTCAGTAAGTCACTATCTCACAAAATTATTACCTTTAGTTATTGTAGAAAGAAACATTTTAATCATCTTAATACATTTACGTTTTAATTCGTTACTAACTTATTAAGTCTATTGTTATTATTCGTATTACATAATCGAGTATTATAATCTTTCTACTAAGTCATCTTAGTTATTCGTGTTCACATTTCCGTGTGGATCCAGTACTTTAACAAAAAAATTTTCAGAATGAGTTTTGTGGAGAGTTTAGGAAATTTCACAGGTTGAAATCATGAGTCAATTGAAGCTAGACCACCATGGAAAACCTGGAAGCACTGGACGGCCGTTTCGTCCTAGTATGGGACTCCTCAACAGTGCGCATCCACGGTTGAAGTTAGACATTAATACCATTGGATGCCGGCTCAGTGGTCTAATGGTTAAGTGCTCGCGCGCGAAGCCAGTAGGTCCTAGGTCCGAATCCCACGGGGGCGGGATCGTGGATGCGCACTGCTGAGGAGTCCCATACTAGGACGAAACGGCCGTCCAGTGCTTCCAGGTTTTCCATGGTGGTCTAGCTTCAGTTGACTCATGATTTCAACCTGTGAAAAAATTTTTCATCTATATATATACAATTGTACAGGTTGATAATAAATTCGTTGAAAAGAGATCCTTTTGTTGAACTTCGTGTTTTTACTATAAACTTCATTACCAATAAAAAAAAATACAAATTAATTAAGTAAATAAATATATAAAGAAAAGGAGCATGACCATCTAAGATGGTTATAAGATGAACAATAAACAAATTGAGAAAAGAAAACAACCTGAAAGTAATTAGGGGTAAAATGAAATTAGAGAAAGAGAAAAAGAGGGGTGAAATTATAAAAGAATGTAAACTATCTCTATACGATTCAATTTCTTATTGATTCATTATAGGGTTATAGGTTTGATGAGGATTTACAAGCTCATTATCTCAGTTAGGATAAAAATAAACGAATTTTTTAAAAAGAAAATATTACTAACAAATGAATTACTTAAATATCTGACTAAAATTTCAAGTCACTTTAATACAAATTCATTTGGTGTTGTTTGCTTATACCTTCCATGGTTGTTTAGGACTACAATTGATTAGTCTCTTGTTGGTATATGTGCATCCTGTGAATATCGCTTTGATATTGCCTTAAGTCACAAGCAAAGATGAATAGTGGCTAGCAGTGGAATCCAGGATACGAGTCTGAAAACCTCACAGGATGCACATATGCCAACAAGAGATTGATCAATTGTATGAACATTTTTGTCTTTTGAACCCAGTAAATAACTTGAAAGATGTTTTAAGATCATAAACCGATTCAAGTTAGATATTCAATGGAAAACAGGAATCACTGGAGAGTTGTTTAGCCCTACTATAGGATTCTTCAACGGTGTGGATTTACGACCACACTGAGGATTGAACCTACGTCTTAAAGTGAAGCGACGAACGTTTTACCTCTAGACCACTGGCCTAGCATACATATCTAACGTCAATCAGTTCACAGTATTGAGCCACCATCTTCTGCTGCCTTCAGTGGGTAGATGCATCACACTTGACATAGTTGAAGTCTAATGGTCACGGCTATACTAAAGAAATCCAGAAATGGAATCGCGAAATTAGTCATTACTGAGTACTTGGTAATTATAAGTACATAGGTTTACCGATGAGCACTACTGCGGAGTTCCAAACTATGAACAAATAGTCGTCCAGTAATTTCCGGTTTCCTACGGTTATGTGACATAAGTCGGCTCGTAATCTCGATAAGGTTCACCATCTCATAAAAAATCACCCTATACTATTAAAACAATTGGCTGCTTCAAGAAATGAAATGATCACTTACAAAGGTGTCTCCATTGTATAAATCCCTTTTTCCTTTAGTAATAACAAGAGTGGCGTTTCCACTGAAATTTGAAGATCAACAGAAAATTCCCTTTGCATATTATCTTTACAAACTTTTCCTATCCATAAAGCAAGTTGTCGATGACTTTCTAAAAAGTTTAAGATTAAATAAGATTATTCATTTGATATAACACTATTAAAAATGGTCTGCTTTCACTTAGTAAATAGTATGTCTCTTGTTGGATAAAATAAATGACTTTGAATTTATAGACTGCACTAATTAAGAGTCAGTTAATTAGGCAAACACAACATGAAACCCTATATATGTGTACATTGGCTCAAGTTGTAATACCCCAATAATATTGTGAAATGAAATTGTCAGGATAAATCCCAGAGTAGTAGAGTTAGTAACAGTGTTTATAGCAATAGGAAAGGTTGGGCATACAAGATAAAATTTAAAAAGAAAATATAAATCAATGAAATGTAAAAAACATTTATAAAGAATTTAAAGTTTTAGGAGAAGATTTTGAGTGAATGCACGTGCAATGTCACGAACAATTTTGAACCATGGCACCCAAAGTCTCTAATTAGATGCAATCACCATGAAGAGCTACCGAAAAAAAATATTCCTCTGATTGGTGTAAATCACAAAGATCAACATTTATTGCAATACCGTTTAAATTTTCACAATAATTCAGAACATACAATATATTTTTCTACAGGGATTTCTTGTCAAGAAACTCCCTCCTACTGTGAAAATAAACTTGAATCGCAGTTAAGGCTTCATGAGAATTCTGACAAAATTGTGACACGTTTAGATAATATATGTTGTTGAGATCCTTTAAATAAAATACACTTCTTTTATGACAGTAATGAACTAATAGACAGATCTGTCAAATGTATTTAGCCCTGGAAATTACGATATTTATGTAACATTAGTTTTTGCCATAGCATCAAAGTCACAATAGTTTTTTACTGTCCTGTTATAAAAGCTCAATCGCCCATTGTTTATGAGTATTGTAATAACTCAGTTCTTAGGCATGTGACATTTGAGAATATTTTATTGTCATGTTAACGCATCATACTACTTAGTTCTTAATAAGTAACAATGTCAGTTACTTTGAATAAATCAGGCGGTTTTCTGAGAGAATAGAAACACTACGGGAGGGTTATATGTCCATATAAAGAGTCCTAATTAGGAAAAATGTCGTAATCTAGACTTAATTAACAGCCAAGCCCGAACATTTAAACACGATTTGTAGTATCCCAGCAAAGAGCTTATGTGCTAAAACTGATCGTTCAATTTGGCCAAAGTAAATAGAAAAAGAGTTATTTGGTCTAGTAATAGCTTAATCTTGGTCATACTTCAATAGTCCGGTGGCCTGATTGATAGCAACTTGACGATGATAGAATTAAAAGATAGATGCATCCCACTGACAAGACTTAGATTTGACGAAACGAGTGCATCATATTTGACTGCTCATCATAAATAACTAAATATAAATTATCAACTAACTTAAAACAAACTCGTAGCAAAACAAATGTTTACCTTCAATTAAAATCCTTCGATTATCATTGTATATGCAAATATCAATATTAAATTTCATCTCCAATTCATTTGATACAATTTCCATCCTTGAAGATGAAGCAAACTGATAACTTTTCTCTTTGATTGGAGAATTTCGATATTCAACTAAACAGGATGAATTGGACCCTAAATTCTCTTTTTCCAATTCAATTGACAACTTCATATGATTTGCCACTTGACAGGGTAGACCATCTTTCCATAAACCTTCATAATCAGGTAACAGATTTGCTTTGCGTGTTAGTTTACCCTGTCCATTTGGTTTACCATTTTTGAATTCCCCCTAGAATGAATTAGTAATGTAGTCACTGATAGTTAAATGTTTGATAGACTAAATGGCAAAGTAATTTCAAGTAGTAAAGACATGAAATTGAGTTTTGTGAAGCACGTTTGATTTACGATGTTCATTTGTTGCTTTAACTGAGGTTTCATTTGCATTTATAGGATTTCAACTACAGGATAGTGTTTACTTTAACGGAGAGGAGCCTAAAATATAATTGGAAACTCAAAGTAGGTGGTTAACACTTACTTAAATTTATTTAGGTGACAAGATATATAAACAATACACAAAATTGGGCAAATAAAGAAACAATGGATAACAATACACAGTATGTTAACCCTAACTATCAAATTTCATGGTGTAACTGGAAGGAAAATTATTTCGTGATATCAATTAAGGCAAGCTAATTCTTTTGAGGCACAAACTTTCATGTATAGCCATAAAGGTATGTTGTATATTTGAGTAAATACTGAAAGAAAGGATAATTAACAAGAGGAAGGTCTTGAAAAGTTTGAAAAGTGTTTAAAGAGTGGCTGGGGGAAATCCTACAGAATGTTTGGTCAAATGTCGGCTTAATGAAATCAAAATATAACTTCAGAGCCGTTTCTATGCCTACAAACAATCTGGCTAAATTTTCTTCGGATATAAGATCTCCCAAAACTTTCCTGAGTGATTAACTTAAGTTTCAATTCATAGGAACTCAGATCTAATCAATTTTTAGTTGGTAAGCTGTGACTATCTTAATTTGTTTAAAAATAAACATTATGAGTAAACTACACTAGGAAAAAAATGCCCCTGTTTAACTGGATATACGTTATTTCCGTGTATTTGAAAGCTCGATAATACACAAATTCTTACTTGTGAACGCAAAACAGCTTCTAGTGGAAATGTAATCAGTTAAAATATCGACATATTCATAATATAATGTAACTCATAAAGCCTATGGAACAAAGCCTGCATAGTTCACATATCTTAGTAAGGTTGGATAGTAAATTATTACAAGTACAGCAGTAGAAATGAGCCATAGTGGACAAATAAAGTATCTTCTTATCGAAATCCTAACATACAGAATATTAATTTGGTTAAATATAAATCAGTTGAAGACAATTTTTATCGAGAATAAAAATCTTCCATATAGTTAGCTTCGTCTCAATGTTATTTGGCTATACAATAGTCAAGAGTTTATTTTAGTGGTTAGATTATGGCAAAGATCTTGCAGAAATTAACCCAACTTCATACAGAAATTTTTAAATTAAAATTCCCAGTTTTACAAAAGCTACTGCTGACACTCTACATCATGCGTCAATTTCCTCTGCATTACTAATTTATTTACATTGTACGCCAAATTCCAAGACAAATAAAGTCGACGTTTTTTTATTTTTTACACATCTTACTCCTAATAAAAAAGATTCACACAAAGTTATCAATATACCATAATTGTAGTAAATAGAACACAAGTGGGGGCAATCGAATCGTATCTAGCACGAAATCACAGAGTTACTTGGTAAAATAGAAAATCCTATAGTAAATCGTTAGCTTGCAAAATATCAATCCATCATATCAAACCGGACTGTTCCTGTTGCAATCATCAATCCATTGTCTCACATTTTATTGTTCATGCGTTTTCTTGCAAATTGCGTAGTGTTCCCGCTATTCCTTACTTGATCTTCTCCCATCTTCTGTTGCCAGACATTACGTCATATACTACTTACATCAATATAAGTAGCACGCACCACATGAGTACTACGATAACAGTTATAAGTTGCGTTCATGACGTTTATTTATTTTCTGATGTTCACAAGTATGACAGTTGCAGAAATTCACACAAATAATCCTAGTCATATTTCTATCTTGATCACTACACCTAGATTCCTCATGGCACAGTTATTTTTTTAATCAATTAAGTAGTACAATACCATCATAAATAACCGTCCTGTGTAATTAGCGAACATCGGACTCTATTAAATATTGAATAGACCAAGCGGATTATTGATCTTATTGCTAATTTTGCTGAGATCTGTACATTGAACAATATATCAACCACAATGCACGTATCGTAACTAATAAAACTGACTATATTTTGTCCACACACACAAAAATCGAATTAGAAGCTTATTATCATTATATAAATGGCTTTAACATACAATGTGGTCAATTAAACAATGAAAAACATGGAGTAAACATATAAAGTAACTAAGTTCTCATCATTTGATATTTTAAATGTTGTTGTTCTACAAGATTTTTCAAGCGTAATACAAAACATTACAACTTATATGAAGAAAAGTATAATGCCTTAATAGCTGGATGTAAAATTTTGAATCCATTTCATATTAAATAAGATGTACTGCAGACTAGTAACACATTGAAAAAATGGAATAACCGTCTGTTTTACAACATCAACTATTTGTGTGGTGTGTAATTGAAAACTACACTGCTAAAATTACTGTATTATCATTAAAAATACAAGAGTAAATCTCATTATTTGAGTAAGTTGCTCTTACTTCATATGTCATTCCGTTTATCATCTTTAGGATACCATTACCATCGTAAATATTATTTTTCCAATACCCTATGTAAGAAAGTCTTCGGCAAATTATCCATAAATTGAAAAAACTCTTACATACTTGTGTGAATGTAGACATCCTGGTCCATTTTTTTTATTTTGAAAAAACTCACCGACATATTTATTCTTGTCTACATCGACATACTTTCCATGACCTTCTTTTTAGTTTTTTAGGAAGGAATTATTACCTTGTTGTAAATTGTGATACCAATCTCCTTCGTACGTGGATCCATCTCCATACTTCATTAGACCATACCCATGACGTTCCCCGAACAAAAAGTGACCGATATATTCGTTTTTTGATAGTGCATAAAATCTTCGTCCATTTCCACACATCTCCCCATCAATAAAGCTGCCTTCATAAATACTTCCATCCTTCATAGAAAATCTTCCAGTTCCTAGGATATTAGGTGAGGCCAAAACACTCACCACATCTTTTACCATTAATCCATTCACCTTCATACTTGTAGTATCCATTTTTATAGAGATATGTTCCCATGCCTGATTAGCGTCTTATAAGTATTAAGAAAAACCCACCATTGCGCTTATTTTTGCACGTCTGACCAGCGTAAGAACCAATCAGCATTGTTGTAATTGCGAACTCTTCGACTTAGAGGTCAAGAATCTCTCCACAACCTTTGTTTTTAATTACAGAGACACAATAAGTTTTATTTTTTAGATAGTTTGACATAAAAGCATGATACTTCCGTGTAGCCAGTCACTAAGTAAGTTAATATCACTGGCGCTGGCAGTGCGTTTCACTCGATGACTAACGAATAACGGATTTTGAATTCTATCTGAAGTTATCTTTGTGTTCATAAGACTACAGGTCTCAGTTCATTAAGTTATTGATCTTACAAAAAACAAAAGATACAAATGTTATCTCTCAGTTCACTGTTTGAAATGTTTCATGAAGTCGTCACACAACGCTTCATCTAAGGATATGGCAGAAAAGTCCAAAACACTTCGAAAATTTCTGTAACAAAATGGTTTCCTTCAGAGTAACTTGGCAAAATCAAACTTCGTTTTTAAACCAAGATATCCTAGCGTCAATGCAATACTTCGAACGACACTGTACACGGGTTAGGTACAGATTAGTAGGAAGCTCCTTATCAAAACTCTTGGACTTTATTAAAGTGACTGGCGGTGTTGAAATCTCTTCACAGTACACACTGAAAAAGGAGTGTTATTTCTCTTAAATCTTTCTATTACAAAGAATATGCGGATATATCTTAATTTTTGCTGACTTGAATCGATTTTAAAACCAGTGTTCTCCACAAAATTATTACCCTAGCTAAATCCAAGGCATGTTAATTTGAAAACGTTGACAATAAGATTTAATTTAAATAGCTGCACACATTTCCATTACTAAAAACGAATGAAGGCGTTCCAGCAATAAAACGTGTCTTTACGACAATATAATTTTTTGAAGCTGTAAAATCGTATTTGTAGGTAATTTTTACATGTAGTATTCTATGGTGAAATACAGAAGTTTTAAAAGATTATCAAAAGTGGTTAAACTTATTCAACTACAAGTCACTGGAATTGGATTGATATTGTGTTGTATAGTGAAGATTATCAAAACTTTACTTCAAGCGTTAAGAGTATTATTTCACGAATATAAAGGTGTTGTTTGAGTATATTTAAAGTTTCCAAGTGCTGAATAAAGATGGTTGTCTCATTTAACAAGTAAACCAGAAATCATCAAGCGCTTAGGTTATTTAATGGTTTCTGAAGTTATTAGAGGTAATAATTTACAGAATGAGAGCAAAAAATAAATGTTCACTTGACAGATGACGAGATAATAATTAACAATATAATTTGTGAAATTCAAAGATTTGCTAGGATCATGGGTGAATAATGGATTGAACACGACTTTTCTGTTCACATCGTTTGGGTTTGAAGTGATGATTTGCTATCGTATTAGCTGTACACAAATATTTGGGAAAGAATTTTGAATAAATATTCACGCTATGGATTCGGTCACGATTGACCATGTGTTCAACAGATAAGCTGTTAACCGATTTGTATTACCCTTTAAGTAACCATCAAAGCTAGTGTTCGAATATTTGTTCACCAAGTGCCTAATTTGTACGACCAATATAGCCTGCTCCACAAGAGCAAGCAAACTGATAGATACACAGTGAGGTGACCCAGAGCGGCAATTCATCCTTAACACTTATCTGCAAACGCCTATGGCAGTTTATCATTTCAAACCAAACGATGTGAACAGAAAAGTCGTGTTCAATCCATTATTCACCCATGATCCTAGCAAATCTTTGAATTTCACAAATTATATTGTTAATTATTATCTCGTCATCTGTCAAGTGAACATTTATTTTTTGCTCTCATTCTGTAAATTATTACCTCTAATAACTTCAGAAACCATTAAATAACCTAAGCGCTTGATGATTTCTGGTTTACTTGTTAAATGAGACAACCATCTTTATTCAGCACTTGGAAACTTTAAATATACTCAAACAACACCTTTATATTCGTGAAATAATACTCTTAACGCTTGAAGTAAAGTTTTGATAATCTTCACTATACAACACAATATCAATCCAATTCCAGTGACTTGTAGTTGAATAAGTTTAACCACTTTTGATAATCTTTTAAAACTTCTGTATTTCACCATAGAATACTACATGTAAAAATTACCTACAAATACGATTTTACAGCTTCAAAAAATTATATTGTCGTAAAGACACGTTTTTTTGCTGGAACGTATTCATTCTTTTTAAAATTTGTATCGATCGAAACTTTTACTTTTATTTCAAGCAGGTGACGATATCGATGTTGTAACTGACCTATGTATTCTGTTATGCATATATGGATAAAAATGTTTTATAACTAGTTTTGAGCCTTACAGTATCCTGCCGAATATAACTATAAGTTTTCGAATACGGTATAAGACCATACATGAGATAATTTAGTTTTCCAATGCCATTTACTAGTTTAGCTATTTTCGTTGTTGATTATGGCACGATTATCTACTCTTATACATAGTACGGAGTTCTGTAGAGAATATAGAAAAGATTAGCCGAAAACATTTACCTCCTACGTCTACAACTGCTTCAAAGTGGATATTGACTGAACGATTTCTATAATTATTACCCTAAATGTATACCGACATATTTTGATAGACCTTCCTACATGAACTGCCACATTATCTATGTTACTTAAGAGAGATCCTTGGGCTACTGAAGATGTGAATGTATGATTAGATAAAATATGAAAATCATGTGTAAGGCTTTTTCACATTTTAACTACAACCTGTCAGTTGCACTGGGGAAGAATCGGCTCAGTGGAAGAGATTTGGATCATTTTACAGTTTTCAGCCCACAATTGCACAACTGAGAAACAATCAGGTAAAAAAGTAATGACGTTTTATAAAAAAGATCTATTTCGTGAAGCAAAGTTTGGGAGAAGTAGATTTTCCGCTTACATTGAAAAACAATAAGTCCGCTTGAAAACCTTTGCAGAACATGGAGAAACTTTCCAGACCAAGGCTTAATTACAATTAAACATAATTTCACGAACTGTCTCAAACACTTCACGGTAGTATCGCTCAAAGTTTCGATCTGCTGCTCAACGGCCGTAGAGATAAAGCTGGCACTGAGTTTTTCCGATCTTTCCTGTTAATGGTGTCTAAAAAGTTTAGATACCTTCAGAATATCCTACATAGCAATCCAGTCTTATGCTGGCACATTTTTCATGCAAAAACGTCATTCAGACGCTGACAATATATTACATTTTTGCTCCACATGAGATCGATTATACAGGAGGCAATCACAAAAATGAGCAGTAACCTCAATCAAGAAATCTCAGGGTATGATTCCACCTTTTGATCAAGTGGCCAGTAACCAGTGCACATAAAACGTGCCAGATGAAACGATGAATGCTTTCAGAAATAAGTTTGAGCTTCATAGAAATACCTAACTCAAGGACTAACAATACCTGACCGACCTATAGGATCGCATGTGATCCCTATAAATGAAGACTAGACTTCCCCAAGTCACTTTCTATCCTAAAGGTGAAGCTGCACTTTATGGATGATCCTGAGCAACATTCCCAGCCCACCAGAAGACACGTGACACAAATAAATAAATGTGACATACCATGTCGGAATGCAAGAGCGCCTTCTAAATTTTAACAGTAGTCAAGTCTTAAAATCACCTGATGACTAATCTAGTGCAAGATGCTTCTACGACGTTTTTCATGAGGATGCGAAAACTATTTTTTGAGGACTCGGAAAAGCAGCTCATAGTAGTTTAATACAATCTCTTGTTAGAAGTCGTGCCTAAAGTAAAACCTGGTTTACCGTATTTCTAAGGTGAGTCTATTCCACGTAAGACTTGTTCTATGCATTTATCAAGTTAGAAGTAATTGTTTGTGAACTTTGATATAATGTATCTAAAGTTTCCGGGGTTGTTACGCACACTTTTGATTTTGCGCAGACTCTAAGAGCATCACAACGACCTACTACCCTATGTAAACAATAGCCCTGTAAACACATATAATATCCCATTTTCAGCGAGGAACGGTCTAACGACTTAAATGCACTAGTTCCTGTCAGTTTGGAGGTTATTTGTCAATTTGTATATCATGTGATCGTGGTGAGTTTGTTTCGGCTACCGCAATATCACGCAGGAGGTTTGTTGATCGCAATGTGAAAAACAATAACAAGAAGATTAGAGTGCTCAGAGTAGACGAACTAAATCATTAACTTAATTAACTGGCAGTGCAGACATTATGGGATGACCCAAATTAAGGAGTAGAAAAGGGAATGGAGATGATAACAACCGAGATAGAAGTAAGTTAATGGAATATGATAACAGAAGATAAGTTACTAGATATTCATCGTTCACAACTAATCTGATCGGGATATATTAATTCTCGGGTGAGTACATATTTGAAGCCATACATTGAGGTGACTATTTTCACTTTCGCTGGAGGAAAACCTCGAATTGGAGTAAGTCTTTATAAAAAATATGGCAGGGTACCCGTTTATGTGCTCTGTGATGTGCTGTCTTTTGAATCCATATCTTCTGTGTTCTCTCGGCAAAAACGACGATACAAATGTGCTTTCGACCCTAAGTCTTAAACTCAATGTGTTGATGCTAAGTATTTTGGATTTTATAGACAACGTTTACTCTTTAAAGTTAAAAGTTACACATATGTATAGACCAACTATCACTAGAAGACTAATCATTAGATGCTGAAATATTAACCGATTTTCGTGACGGTTGATAATGACTAGTCCAGATCGATCGATCGATCGATCGACGATATGACTCTTGTCGTTACGTTCTGTATTTTTCTAATCTGCTCTTTTTCATAGCTGATATTACTCAGACTTTTATCTGTCTTTCAAAGCCGTTAGGAAGTAGAATACCTCAGTTTTCAAAAGCCCAGACTATGGAATCGCCTCATATTGAAAATTTGATGTATAGTTATTCGGGTCAAGTGTTCATAATATTTATGTTCAGTTTCAGCAGAGAGAAGCTCGCAAATGAACGAGACAAGTGAGTTCACAACAATATTGTTACAAACATTTACAGGTACCATAAATTGTGATCGGTCACTCATCGATTAGAAATGTGAGGGGCCCATGAACTTGAGGGCTCTGCATTAGGATTATTGCTGTCCTAAATGGCCCTAATAATTGTCAGTTAAGTTTCAGAATATCGAGTAGCATCTTATCAGAGGCCTGACTGAATATCTGGGCTACCCGTTTCTGCCATCTAACTATTTCAACAAGTCATCTGTTTTTCATTTTGTCTCAACGTCTCATTATGTCTATTATTCGCACAACTTATACAGGCGCGTTCATAAAAAGCCTACGACCTTTCGCTGCACAAGTTACAAAAAAGCGCAATCAAAGACATCGTGGTGGTTAGCAATATGCTTTGAAGAGAATGAGCATTAATCGTGTGTCGATTCCCGAGCTACGGACTTCTAACTGCCGATCACTAATTAACAAGGTGGACTATCTGCAATTCCCACTAAGTCGAAATATGTATCGTAATTGTGGTGTCATCATAATTCAAGAATCTTGGTTAAATGATTTACAGGATGACTGCCTAGTATCACCACGTGATTTCATAATTTGTCGTCAGGATCGATCAAACAATAAAAAGAGGTGTGGTGGCGGTGTAGCTACGTTTGTAAACATAAACTGCTGTCGATCTTCGTTCGTGTGTTTTAAGTTTTCAAATGCCTTTATCGACTATCTAACTCTAAGATGTCGTCCAAAGCATCTGAATAAATACAAATATGTTTATGTTACCAATATCTACGTGACTCCAGATTGTACATCATCTTCACTATCTGTTTTCGCTGATGAATTCACTGAGTTCGCTGTTACTGCCTTCAGTGATTCACTTTCAGTTGTATATGGTGATTTCAATTCATGTGACTGTAGCTTCCTTACGTCACTAGGTCACCAAAACATGGTAGATTTTCCTACTCGTTTGGATGCTCATTTAGACTTCGTTTACATTAATGATGTGGGTGTATATGCGACTCGTAAACGTGCCCCATTGCCTAGCTCGGATCACTGTATAATTCGTGTTCTACCAAAAGTAAATGGGAAGCTTGGGAAGAGTACAATCTTGCATCAAACCAAGAAAGTGAAATATAGGAATTACTCAGAAGAAAATATCTGAAATCTGAAAAACATGTGTCATACGACTAACTGGGAATTATTTGCAGACGACTCACTGGAAAACACTATTGATGTTATCACTTGTTACCTTAAATTCTGTTTCGATATTTGTTGTCCCAATGAAACCATTTTTGTAAGTTTTGATCGACGTACATCTACACAACTAAAACGACTACGGAGGGTAAAAGAAAGAATGTACAAGGAGAAAAACGCAAATGAAGTTCGTAATCTAAATGG